GATGTTTGCGGTGGTTATCAAACCGACTATCGATCCTCTTTTGCTCCGTCTTCCTCCATCACATGGGTTCACCGTGTCTACCGCTCTACCTAATTTTTTTTTGACGTTATGCTTCATCTATCTTCCCTTTTCCTCATTTGTTCCACCGACTTCCCACCGTCTCTTCTAGATCGAAATCAACATTACATTTAACACCAAAATGGCCTTCTATTTCTTTCTTTCTGTTATATGTCATCATTGCGGCTTGGATCGGAGTTTGATTACATTATGGTTGGATCGGAGTTTGATTTCCATCTAGCGGCGAAGCGCCATTCAGGTATTTGAAGTTTGAACATCCAAGTTTCGTGAACTAACAACTTATTTCAACTAATTTTAATTTCAAACCTATCATTGATTATCGAATTGGGTAATTTTGTTGATTAATCTACATATTCGAAGGTCGTCATATCACGACGTGATTAGGGTAAATGAGATTCAGAAACACTTGGACATCACTTCGGTACAGACCTACAAAATCAACAGTGTGAAGGTAGTCTTCTTGAACGAAAGGCCGTAGTCGCAGTCGGTAAAAGGCGTTACAAATACTTGTGAAGTATGCGAGCGTAGTCTTCTCAATTCCTTCCGTTTTCTGCTCACTTGGGTGTAAGGTAAATACGATCAACCCAAAAGAAATTCAAGTGGTTTATATATTATGGTTAAAAAACAGTTAATCTGCCACATGTGAATTGAATTTCAAAACTATATTAAAACCCTTTATCATGTTCTTTTTTCCAATTACTAGCATCCGTGGAGGTTTTAGGTCAGATGGCTGCTGAATTACAATTGAAGAAGACAAAAATCGACCAATTGACGAGAGATATGCTTACTATGGAACAAAGGTAAATAGGGATTAATGTTTTATATAATTACATTGATTGCCTATATATATATATATATATATATATATATATATATATATGTTAATTGCTTTCTCGATTCTTCCATCACTAATATCCCTAATCTATCTACTAGGATGGGTGACCCCCTGGGAAGTCCTCGTGTTGCACCCTCCTTTTGGTCAAGCAACAAGGTTATATCTAGGGGACACACATATTTGGTCTTCTACTGGAGTTCAACAAGGAGACCCCTTGAGACCACTTCTCTTTGCCCTTGTGTTGCACCCGCTCTTGCTTAATAAGAGATAATTGCAAGCTTCTTCTCCATGCATGGTACCTGGATGATGGCACACTTATTGGAGATTCTGAGGAGGTGGCCAAAGCCTTAGACATCATTAAGGTTATTGGCCCACAATTAGGCCTTCAGTTGAATATCAAGAAAACCGAGCTCTTTTGGCCCTCATGTGATGGAAGGAAGCTGCGTGAGGGGATATTCCAGGTTGGCATCGTGAGGCCGCCATTGGGGGTGAAACTTCTCGGGGGAGCTGTTAACAGAGATGCTAGTTTCATTAGCAACTTAGCCATAAAGAGAGCTGGAGGCGCTGTGAATTTAATGCGCCTTCTTCCACAATTGTCTGACCCACAGAGTGAGCTCCTTCTACTTCGTTCTTGTATGGATATTGCTAAACTTTTCTTTGGGCTGAGGACGTGCCAACCCGTTCACATGGAGGAGGCGGCGTTGTTCTTCGATAATGGATTACGCGGGGCGATTGAGGACATTGTGGTTTGTGGTGGCCCCTTCTTTGTCGACTTAAAGTGACGACTTGCTTCCTTACCCATTCGGTTTGGTGGTTTGGGTTTATACTCGGCAGTAGAGGCTACCTCATATGCTTTTGTTGCCTCAAGAGCCCAATCTTGGGTATTGCAAGACCATATCTTACGGGATAGCGGCATTTATGGTATGGATTCTGATTATGCTTGTGCCTTAGATTCTCTTCGTAACAAGCTTCCGGACATTGACCTTAGCAGTTTTACTACTAAGGACACCGCCCTCCCTAAATCCCAGAATACACTGGCGAGTGCCCTTTTTAGTAAAATTATCCAAGATATGGAAGTGAATTTCAATATGACGGCTCGGCAGAAAGCAGTTTTCCAGTGTTTACGTGCACCACATGCTCAAGATTTTCTTCTAGCTATCCCTATAGACGGGCTTGGCCAACATATGTCTCCGGTGGAGTATCGTACCATCCTCAGATATCGTCTCATGATTCCAATATTCCCAGCCGATGGGATATGCCCGGTGTGCCGCAAGGCATGTTTGGACTCTTTCGGCGAGCATGCAGCTCATTGCAAAGAACTCCCGGGGTTCAAATACATGCACGATATGGTTAGGGTTTTTTTGGTCGACATATGTAAGCGTGTCGGGGTTTCCGCCAAGAAAAAGGCTCCTGTGAATTTCCTGACCGACCCGATAGAAGAAAGGTCAACCCTTAGATCGACTGATGTTTTGATTTTTTGGATGGGTTGGAGGGAAACACGCATGTGTGGACCTTACAGGGGTATCCCCTCTCGTAAGTTTGAGGGTCGGGGATTTCACGGCGGGACAGGCTGCATTAAAAGCTGCATATACAAGGTCACCAAACATGAGAAACCGTGCATGGAAAATCAACACGCGTTCATACCATTTGCATTTAATACGTTTGGCTTCCTTGCGCCGGATGCGGTGAAGCTCCTTAGTAGACTACAACGGATCATGCATAGCCATGTTATATCCCCTAGTTCTATGGATGTAGTCTTCAAATGAATTGGTTTTACCATACAAAAGGGCTTAGCGGCGCAACTTTTTGCCCGTTTGCCTTCTCATTCGTTGTATGATGATAACTAAAACATTTTATTTATTGATTTATTTTTGTTTTGTTTTAATTGGTACATGTTTATTCTGATATAGGTTAAAATCAGAAAATAAATATGGGTTAGGTTCACTATACAACCTTCCGCTATCTTTCTTTAAACAATTAGTGGATTTGGTTATTTTTATATACAATTTTTGTTGAGTTGTTCTATTTCAATGGTTTTTATAAAAATGTTTTAAACATGTTTTAGTAAGTTGTGTATCCTGTCTTGCTTAAGGTTTTTTTTTCCATATAGTAACTAACATGTTTTGTCTTTCTTTATGTGTGTGATTAGGGATGGCAATGATGATGATTCTGTAGCACAGATGAAGGCAGCTGAAAAGGCTCTTGCAACTAAGGAATAAGGTAATTCAAGCTACTTGATGAGTGCTTTAATCATTTTGGTGCTCTTCCCTTTTTTACTAAATGGACTTAATGTGGATAAAATGTTGAATCCATTAACAGTCTGAATTAGACTTAATGATCGTCTTACCCTTACAGGGAGAAGGAATTGGAGATGCTTATGGCTATGATTGACTGATTACAACATCTCCAAAAATTGTATCAAGTTATCCGAAAAAACCGTTGATTGTTCTCTGGAGACTTCTTCAAATGTCTTCATCATAGTGAATTGTAAGTAAGTTTTTAGAAATAACCTCCCACAGGACATCTAATCTCTTTCATTTTGCTAAACCTATAAATGTAATGACTTGAATCTTTGTAAAGATCTGAAGAATGTATAATTTCGTAGTGGTTAAAACTTTACCTTGAAAAATGATTTCAAACTTGGGATTTTATCCCTGTTTTTTGTGTACAAATGTGGAAAGCAAACTAATGTCGAGGCTGTTTCATGGACATGGAGTATAGATGGTGATTTAAGTAGTTGAAAAAAAATCATTCCGACCCATGCGGAGCATGGGCACTCACTAGTTCTTATTAATTGATTTCCACATCCATTAATACCAATCTCCATTTCATATTTCTAATGTAGTATTCATATATATCAGATCAATTATACATATACATACTCCATACGATATAAGATATATGTATCCGCATTGTTAGTGATTAGGGTTTAGGCCCAAACCCCTTAAGGTTTAGCCATTGGGGTTTGGGTAATCTATTATTTCATATGGTATCAGATCTCTAGGTTAAAAACCTACTGCTGACCACAACCTGCAGCCGCCGCCCTCCACCTCCGGCGACCATCCCTAATAGTCGTCGGAGGTGCCTTTAATTTAGGGGTGGAATTGATAGGTACCAATTTATTTTTTCACTAAACCGTGTACTGTACCATTTTTTTACCACTACCATACCAAATATAGTTGCTACCAACTTGTTTGGCTACCAATAAGTTCGGTTGGTACATGTTAGTAACAGTATATACCAACAATATAAGGATTTTATGAATATTCGTGTTCTTTAGTATTGTGAAACTTCAATGAGGGGTTTTGTGAATAACAATTTTGTAATGGTTGAGATTGAAACTTCAATCCAGAATGATTTTATTAATTTCTATCACGAGTTTATAAGTTAAGCGATGGAGGAAAATTGGACACGCCAATATAAGTTTAAAACGTTTAACTTTGCTAATTCGATAAATGCTAATAATAAAGCTCGTAAATCATAAGCTTCAAACATACCAAAATTATATATATATATATATATATATATATATATATATATATATATATATATATATCGTAGATATATATATATATATATATATATATATATATATATATATATATATATATATATATATAGGAGTAGGATCAAATGAGAACACCTCAAAAGGTTGAGAACGCGAGAACGGATCTGGACCATCAAAATATTCAGATCTGAGGCTATTATCAAACGGGTCATTTACGTAAATTCTAAAACCATAGGTATTAAAGTGTAACTTGTAAAAGGTCACAAGGCTATAATGGTAATTGTAATTTTAACTTGTCCCTATAATTTCTCAATCACATATCATATTGCCGTTCAAATTATTTGTCCCCCACTTCATTTCTTTCTCTCTCTCTATACCTAGGTTTTAATCAATTCCTCCCTCAGCCTCCCTCCATCGCACATCGTTTGAATCAATCCTAATCGGAGCATCGCAAGTCTCCACCTCGATGCGTTTTTGGTTTAATTTTTCCACCATTGCACCATCACTACCCATCTACGCAGCCTACATCACAGGTCGATGAAAGACGTAGGAAGGAAGTGAAGGCAGTCGGCGACGTCTATGGTCGGCCGTCGTGATGGCGAGGGGAGCGTCTCCGTGGTCGACGAGGCTGAAGAGGAGGAAAGGAGGAGGCAGCGAGGGGTGGGTTGTCGGTCTCGGTGGATCGAAGATGGGGCACCTTTGGTGATTGGCTGGATCGAAGAGAAGAAGAAAAGAGAGAATGGAAGCAGCAGGATGTGGGGTCTGCCATTGGTTTCCGGTGACAAAGCCCCGATATTGGGTTGTTTAGTGATTGAGAAGGGCAGCAACGATTCAAAAATAGGTAAGGGTTCCTTTTTTTTGTTCTTGTTTGATTTGGCAGAACTCGATAGGCTCAAGTGGGTCTTTGAAGGCTCAAGTGGCAGCCCTTACAATTGATGGAAGAGATAGCCACACAAAGTTGTAATCAGATTCAAGGTAAAAGGTTGTGCACATAAGCTGTTTGATGATATGCGTGACAGGGGTATTCATTTATAAATAGCAGGGTATTCATTTGTTAATAACAATGTATTCATTTGTAAATAGCAGTGTAATCATGTGTGAATGAGTATATTTTATTTATGATTAGAGGTATTGTTTTATTCATTTGTGAATACCAGGGTATTCATTTGTTAATAACAATGTATTCATTTGTAAATAGCAATGTAATCATGTGTGAATAAGTGTATTTATTTATGATTAAAGGTATTCTTTTATGAAGAAATGATAATTTTTACACCCCTTTTATTTTCAGTTGATTAAAAGAAAGGAAGTGGATTACTTGTAAATTGATATGTATTCATTTGTGATTGCAGTAGTATTAGTTTTTTTGAAAAAAAAATCGTTTATAAATACAAATGTATTTATTTGGGGTTGGATTTCTATTAATTTTTTTGAAAAAAAAAAACGTGAATTATGAGAAAAAAAAATTTAAGAAAAAAAAATTAAATTTTTTTAGTTTAAATTTTCTTTTTTTGATAAAAATGTTTTTTATATTTCATTAATAAGAAAAATAAAAAATCAAATATCTCCTTCTTTTTTGATAACTGATCCTATATTTAAGGGAATTTGATTGATTTTATTTTATTTTAATTTAATTAAAATATGCAATTACTTATATGCCCTTATATATTGATTGGTCCAGAACTGTTCTCGCGTTCTCAACCTTTTAGTTGTTCTCATTTGATCATTTCCCTATATATATATATATATATATATATATAATATATATATATATATATATATATATATATATATATATTGAATTGGTTGGTATGGTACTACCAACCAAACATGTTAGTTACCAATATTTTTGGTTCGGTTGGTAACATGTTAGTTCGTTTTCTATGGTACATATTTGTCAGCCCTAACCTTCATTGTGTTCAATATTTTTCATTTTCTTGTTTTTCCTCCTAAATATTAATACAGTCGTCGACATTAAACCATAACTCCTTTATCGGCTTCTTCTATTGTCTTGTATGCATATGTCTCATCCTCGGATGACCCCTCTCCTTGGATGGCCTCTTCTTCTTCGAATCTATTTTCCGAGTTATCCTCTTCCATTGTTGCTGATGCCTCCCTCCAATGGTACCTTCTCCATCGGGCAACATTTGATCTGCAATCGTCTCTCTCTATCAACACTGTAGTCACCGATCTCGTCGGAATTGGTTCCGTCCGTCGCAACTCAAACCCTCTTTCTTTCTCGTTTCCTTTCTCCAGACTTCTCTTACGTCGTTACAATGATCGTCATTGCCGCCGTCGCCGTTCCTCTACTCTTCTTCTACAACGAAACCGCCTCTGGCCGCCACTTCTTCTCTTTTCTTCTCCGACAAGCAATTATTGTTAGTCGTCATTGTCAGAGAGCTCTGCCACCATCGTTGCCACTGTTTACCTCTATGTTTTTTTTCAGTTTAATCGTCTCTTCCCGATCAAACTGCGGGGGATGTCAGTGATTAGGGTTTAAGCCAAAGCCCCTTAAGGTTTTGCAGTTAGGGGTTGGGTAAGCTCTCACTCACTCACTCTCTCTCTCTCTCTCTCTCTCTATATATATATATATATATATATATATATATATATATATATATATATATATATATATACTAGCCGTTTACCCGCGCCAAGCGACGGGTGCAAATAGTTGTTTTAGCAATTAGTTTACTACACCAATTATTTAATGTGTTAAAAACTCGATTCAAGACAATCTTAAAACTCTTAAATCCAACTCACCTGCACAATACGGTGGACGGTGGAACCGCAAGGGGGGGGGTTACATAGTTACGTTTCAACAATAAGTTCCCTTTCATTGGTTATTTGTATTTTGGAAGTATGTTGCTTTTATAAGTAAGTTTTTGGCTAACTCAAGCTTGACATTTTATATATAGTTTTATATTTTTGACACTATTTTTATTTTAATCATACTAATAAATGAAATCTAATAAATATTATTAATATATTATAAAAAAATAATAAAATTTTATGTGAAAAATGTGAATTTTACATAAATCTATAGTTGTTACGATGTATATTGGTTTTAAATTTTTAATATTGAATTTTTTTGTATAATATACAAATAATATGACAAAATAGATTCAACTTAAAAGACCATTTCATATTTGATTAAAGAGAAGCTTATGAAAATTGAGGGGAAATATCTGTGAGAGACGGAGAGAAATCATGGTCAGATTTGTAATAATAAACAAAAAATAGCCGTCAATATGAATTTGTGTGTCTGAAAAGCAAGTTTTCATGCAAAATCTTACCTGATGATATCAATTTTTATGTATACATGAGAACTCATACTTTAATTATTTCCTTTATTGTTGCTTCCGAATCTATTCGAGTCGAACATAAGCGCATATTTAAAAACTCCAACAAACCATAATAAGCTATAATCCTTAATTTCCATTAAAAATAAGATTTTGTTGGAACACCATTTTATTAGGTTTTATATACAAAGTACTTAAATACCAACTATAATAAAAAGGATTAAGACATGTGGATGCTCTTGGTATTAATGAACAACCGTCAGAGTGAAGAAAAAAGTAAAAATACCACCTCAACAAACTAAAATCTCTCAAGTCATATTCTATCTCAGCAGACACCTCGATGTTAATACTTGAGAAAGTAAATCCTAGTTCAAAAAGCCAACATTCTCAACCTTTTCCAACAGCTCATTAAGACCAACATATTTTCTTGATACATAGAGAAATGATGATAACTAAACTTAAGCAAACAAACTTACCCGAAGGACAAATCATGACCTTTTCCAAACATTCTATCTTCTTTGAACCACATCCATTTCCTGGAAATCAAACTTAACAGAATGTAAGCACTAAAATAATTCAATCGATTTTACATGCATTAAAATATGTCAAAACAGTCATACACATAGATACAAACACAAAGACATATATACTCACGAATATTGTATTTCAGACAAAGATGAAGAAATATACCTAAATCGTTTGTATGCGTAAACAGAGATTATGGCAGAGACGTAAAGGTAAGGGAGATCAAACAGAGATCAAACAAAAACCCGGTAATGATCTGAAAACAGAGATCAAACAAAAACCCAATAAATCAATTTCCCAGAAAAGTGTGTTTGATGGTGGTTGAAAAATGGCGACTCTTGGTCATGGAAGAGACATAAAGGTAAGGGAGAGGGTGAGGAACGACGGCTAGGTTTCTTTTGGGTCCAGGATTATGATGATTGGACGTTGGTGTCTGGGGATATATCGGGATAGGTCTGATATTAAGGACAAGGTGATTGTGATCGACAAATTTCGGATTCAAATGATGGATTCGGCGCCAGAAGGCAGAGCCGGTAATGGTACCAAATCAGAAAAACAATACCCAAAATAGGGAGGAACAGAAGAGAGTGTTGTTGTTCGCTTCTGGCCACATATAGTGTGCTGGTGGGGGAGGTGGTAGTCGATGATGGTGGTGTAGGTGATAGTCGATGATGGTGGCGAGCATGGTACCTGCGGTAGTGGATTTCTTACTGTGCGTATCAAATATTAATGAAAACGGGAAATGATATCAGGGAAAGAGGAGGGTCGTTCCAAACATATTTTGGGCCCAGGGCAAGAGAAAAAAATGGGCCCTTAAAATACATAAATGTCGTCAAGTTTTTTATAATAACTCAATAATTGAAAGAAAATTACTTGTGCTGTCTTCTAAATATAAATTTCCATAAAAAATTTTGGCCCTTTTGAAAGATGGGCCCTGGACGGTCGCCCCTATCGCCCACCCTCTGGGACGGGCCTGGGAAAGAGGCGAAGACCACTGATATAAGAGAAGATAAACTATAAATGAATTTTTTTGCCGAAATATAAGGCTTCAAAGAAGACTCAACAAGATCAAAGGACTTAGTCAAAAGTACTGCGATGGCAGGATAAAATATCTAGGAATGTTGGTTTAATTTTGACTAATTCATTTGACTTGATCAGATAAGATTTTATGCATAAACTGACTGTAAATATCGCAGTAATGTTTGTACCTCTTAAAATTCAGCAAAACATGGTAAATGCTTTTTAAGGTATATATATATATATATATATATATATATATATATATATATGCTTAGGTTATTTTATTCTAGCTAATTATTGTGCGGATATCGTATGTTATGAGAATGATAAAGAAAATATGTTGTTTGATAATATAAATACATTCAATCTTACATAACTATTGTCATTAACACACATTCTCACTAATTAAATCGTCTATAAGGTTATTATACACTTATTATTATTATTCTCATTTCTATCAGAATGTTTATCAGAATGTTTATTGGGTCGTATTCTGTCAGAATGAAAATGAGTGAAAAACGATGTGTGAGAACAAAAATAATTAATAATTAGCGAGAATGCATAAAAATGATGATATTTTTGTAAGGTTGAACGTATTCACATTGTTAAACAACTTATTCTTTTAGTAATTGTCATAGCATACGATATACGCACAATAATTAGTTAGAATACTTGAACCTCTATATATATATATATATATATATATATATATATATATATATATATGTCTTTTGAGTGAAAAAACAATAATATTAAGGCAATCTATTATTTCACACATAATATTCACAAAGTATATCAATTTATTTATGATAAGAGTTCATAACATAAAACATACATCCAATTCAAATAGGTTGTCATATTTACGTATTAAGGGCATGTTTGGGTTAGCTTTTTTAACACAAAAATGATTTTTAAGAAAAGTTCTTATTAGCTTATGGCTTTTAGGAAGTTGATTTTAAAAAGTGTTTGATAAGAAAAAGTTGCTTTTTAGGAGTAAAATGGCTTAAAAAGCTAAGATTTCCCAGCTTTTTGAAAGCTTTTCTTTTTCATATCCAAAAAGTTGTTTTAAAAAACGTTTTTTAAATACAC